TTCCTTTCTTCCTTTCTCTCCTTTCTCTTTCTTTCTCTTTCTTTCTTCCTTTCTCTTTTCTTTCTTTCTTTCTCTTTCTCTCTCTCTCTCTCCCTCTCTCTCCCTCTCTCCCTCTCTTTTTTTTTTTTTTGAGACGGAGTTTCACTCATGTTACCCAGGCTGCAGTGCAATGGCGCGATCTCAGCTCACCGCAACCTCCACCTCCTGGGTTCAGGTCAGCCTCCTGTGTAGCTGGGATTACAGACACGCACCACCATGCCCAGCTAATTTTTTTTTGTATTTTTAGTAGAGACGGGGTTTCACCATGTTGACCAGGATGGTCTCGATCTCTTGACCTCGTGATCCACCCGCCTGGGCCTCCCAAAGTGCTGGGATTACAGGCTTGAGCCACCGCGCCCAGCCTCTCTCTCTATCTTTCTTTCTTTCTTTTTCTTTTTTTTTTTTTTTTTTTTGAGACAGGATCTCATTTTGTCACCCAGGCTGGAGTGCTTTGGTGAGGTCATGGCTCACTGAAACCTCTGCCTCTTGGGCTCAAGTGATCCTCTCACCTCAGCCTCCCGAGTGGCTAGGATTACAGACATGCACCACCACACTCAGTTAATTGCATTTTTTTGTAGAGATAGAGTTTCTCCATATTGTCCAGGCTGGTCTTTTTAATTCCTGGGTTCAAGCAATCTGCCCACCTCAGCCTCCCATAGTGCTAGGATTACAGGTGTGAACCACCACATCCTGCTTTCCTTTCCCTTCTTTTCCAGATTCAACAATAAAAATAATTGCTTATCTGTACATTTTTGATTCTCATGATCCATGTAAAATGATAGTAATCTTTTGTCCTTAACTATTGTTTGTTTTTGTTTTGTTTAAATTATTATTTTAAAAATTAGTTGATACCAGAATTAAAACAAGTCTCAGGGATCCTTTACTTCTACCTTATCATTTTACCAGATTGGAACCACACCCAGAGAATTTAAAGTAAACTTGTCCAACCTGCAGCCTGCCAGGACAGCTTTGAATGTGGCCCAACACAAATTCACAAACTTTCTTTTTTTTTTTTCTTTTATCATATCAACAGACACTTCAGTACTACATAAACTTTCTTAAAGCATTATGAGTTGCCTAAGACAATTCTTCTTCTTCCAGTAGGCCAGGGGAGGCAAAAGATGGGACACCCTAGATTTTAAGTGTCCTGTTCTTATTAGTTGCTAATGGATTTATGCCTTCTAATCCAACTACCTTTCCTTCCTAAATTGTTTCTAATATTATATTGATCCAACCACCTGTAAACATCTGTGCTAAGCTGACTGGTCAATGATTTGCCCTAGATTGAAGCAATTGGCAATTATCCTGACACCCAGATTTGTAGCATACATTAACAGACATTTGAATTTGCTTCTCTCTACCTCTGGGGCAGAACTTCTATTGTCCAGGTTTATATTTTTGTAACATACAATGAGACTTTAAAAGACAACTCCAAATTAGTTGATTATTAGAGAGTTTGATAACATTTCAAAGTTTATCTGCACAGATTTAATTCTTACTAGCTTTACAACATTTAAAAAAAGATCCTGACAAATATGAGCCTATTTCCTACATTTGATTGTATACAACAAAAATAAAGAGATTGGCTCAATCCTCTACTAAATTCCATACCCTGTCTTGGCCAAATGGATCACAATGAAATTAGTTCACTGGCTCAAGCTGAGAAAAATAGGTGGCAAGGCTGTGCACTACAAATTAATGAAATCCGCATGGCTGTAGTTATTACTAGACAGAAACATGCCAAAAGGGAAAATATTCTACAAGTGTGCTGTTTGGCAAGCATAAAACCAAAATCTAGGTTAATTTTGCTGTCTCTTTATTTCTTTATTCTATGCAAGAATCTATCAGTTTTTCCCCAAGAAATTTTTTTTTTGCTAGTAAACACAATAATGAATGTAGAGCAATATCAATTTGTATCATGAGAATTAAAGCAATGTTTAGCATACTATAATATCAGGGGTGTTTGGGGTTTTCTGCATTTTCCTTTTTTGATCTATTGTTTATCTTAACTGTTTGGCCTATGTCATTTCTTACATGTAACAAAACAAAATAGCAAAAGAAACTTTCCTTGTCTGATAAAAGGATCAGAAAAGTATGTATGGATAGTACAAACAAAGAATCAAAGTGGTAAGAATGCATTCAGAAGGAGAAACATTTCTTACTTTTTTCTGTATTGCAAGCTGGCTTTGTCAAAATAGTAAAAAATGTTTGGAAAAAGCTAAGATATAGACTGCAGCTCAGAATACACAAAGCAATTATTATAACATTTTTGTATGCTCCAATTTACCTGTTACGATTCTGAAATCTGATTGCAAATGCAATGACATAAAAACAAAAGACTATATTGGTGTTTCCACCTGGTTAAAGAAATACTCCTCATTGTGCTACTATGTCTGGTTTGAAAAGTTTAAAAGTATATTTTCATATTGAATATAAATATTAACTGCTGTTTTCTACTGAACAATTCACTTTATAAAATGCTATTTTTAAATTTTAGAGGACAAGAGCACTTAAAAAAAAAAGGCATATGTATTCCAAAGGCTATCTTTCCTAAGCATTTTCTTTGAGAACATCAGCCTTGTACAGAATAGAAAAAGTTACTGCTTTAATTTCCTTCTTCATGATTTAAATAATTGGCATTCTCAACAAGAGGTTCATGAGTGAAGTTTCTTACCAAGCCATATGGAGTTATGAAAAATTCCATCTTTGAATCCCCATCCTTGAGCCTCTTCGCATAGCAAGAGAAATAAGTAAATTAAGATGATCATATCGTGAGTTGTAGTGAAGTAACAGCCTGTTAGGGGCTGCTTACAGTAAACTCTCAGAGCAGCGGCTGAAATGTGACTGAAACATCTGGTTTCCACATCTTTTAAATAGTTTTTTTCAACTGTGAGGTCAGCAACTACTCTCCAATGGCATTTTCCACTATAGAGTTACACAATTATCTCAGTGTCTGAAGCAAATCCTCTGACTCATTTGCATTGGCAACCAAAACTAAGAAGATAAAATGATTATCTATGTTTTAAATTAACTTACTAAGAACGGAGTTCATTTATTGTCAGTCACAAACACATTCCTGTTAGAAAGTTTGCATAACTTGATGCAGATTTAGCAGTGACTGAAAGTCAAGCTTCAGTAGGAATTTCAAGATAAATCCTAAATGTCTTATTTGCCATGTCAATTATGGGGTATGGGGTTAAACACTAATCTTTTATTGGTAGCATTGAACTGGCTTTTCCTAAACATCGTCAAGCCTGTATAAAAAATTTAAAGCAAAAGTGTGCACAGTTTCGTGAATCCTAATTTTTCTCCAATGATTTATGACTTCCTTATTCTCTGTTTGCTTTTCTTCTGGGGTGGGGTCTGTTGCAGTCTTTGGTTGTCATGTACAGCAGTGAAATAAATGCATCAGCTCCCAGAAAAGTAATTCATTTGCAGAGTGTCAGGACGTTCCAGCAGCTTTGGGATGTCCTATTATAACACAGTTTTCCCAGACCACAAATTCTTGAAGTGTTGGGAGAAAAGTGGGTAGACTAATAAAGTTAACAAAAATATGTCCCTAGCTTCCCTAGATCATTCTAATGAAGAAGATGATCAAGGTAATAATTAGTAATTATTACAGAAAAGTCACCATGCCTTCAAATATCCCAAACTTTCCTTCTCTTTTGTGTAAAGTCTTTGAGTAACAGATCTGATAATATTCCCACTACCACTGATGCTAATGGCATTTCCTGTTGTTCATTGATAACCATTTATTGGCAACTTTTAATTTAAAAAAAAAAATTGGGCCGGGCGCGGTGGCTCAAGCCTGTAATCCCCGCACTGTGGGAGGCCGAGGCGGGTGGATCACGAGGTCAAGAGATCGAGACCATCCTGGTCAACATGGTGAAACCCCGTCTCTACTAAAAATACAAAAAAAAAAAAAAAAATTGGTCCTGTTTTGTTTCTTAGATTCTCTACTTTTGGTCTCAAATTGCTTCCCATTATAGCATTCATTTCGCCCATGCTTTCTTAGTCCCTCCAGTGATGTTGGAGTTTTTTGAAAAAGCCAACTTATTAGACATGCTCTGGTCTGGAGTTAGCTTTGAATCCCTTAGATGTCTTTGCATTGAACATCTCAGGAATTGTTCTGGTCTCATCTCTTTTTAAAAGAGCAGTTATGGGGATGTAGGCTGAGAGAACAGAATTTATTGGGTGCTCAGTGGAGTATGCATAAAGTTACTAGCATTCAAAATCTTTATTTTGGACCGATGGCACATGAAAGATGAGGGAATTGTATCCAAGTTCACAGATAGGGTTAGTGAATTTAAGTCCGTTGCAAAAGAGAAAGGTATAGTCTAGACCAGGTGGTGTGACTATGAAGAAGATAGGCATGGTTAGTGAGAGCAAGATTCATAGGTAGTTGGAAGGAACAAACCATGATGTTTCTTTGGAAAGTATAATTTTTGAGTATTTTAAGTCTGTGGTTTAGGAAGTAAATATAACTTTACTTGTGCAATGCTACAGTAAGACTTTCTTAAAGCCTTTCCAGTTCTTTGCTTGTCACATCCTCCAGCTGTGCCCTTTCTGCATCTCTCTCAAGCTCCTAATTTCCCCCTAGTTCTAATTTATCAAAAATTACTCTCAGGAAAGGGTTGCAATTAATCTTTACTTAGTCTAGATGACTAAGAACAGATACCCTTCTGTGTTCATTTGCATTTTAATGAAGCTCCAAGCAGAGCTGAGTGTGAATGCTCAACTTGTTTTAACACAAAAATTTAATGAGTTGCTTTGATGAATTAACCCAATCTGGGGTGAGGATTTCTTTCTCCCCTCTCCCAACTTTCATGCAGAATATAAATATTTCCCCTTACCTCGGGATAGTGTCTGAAAAATCTCATCCTCCCTATCATCAAGGAATTAGAGAATAATGCCTAATAATGTGGGTTCTGATTTTGAGGGGCATTCAATTCTATTATGAAAGGAGAGGGGAAATGGGGTTTTCATATGGAAAAAATGCAGAGGGTAATCCCGAGGACAAGTGAGAGTAGCTAAGGAAATGTTGCCTATGAACTTATCTTGGAAGTGGTCTAAGAAGCACCCTCTGCCCAGCCTCCAGCACACACCACTCAGGATGAGCCTTGTGAGGAGCTGAGAGAAGATACACTGATGGAAGTTCCTTTCAAGGGCTTGAAAGACTTTGCCAGTCAAGCATTCTGTCTTTGCAGAGGAATGCCCTCCCCTCCCACAACTTCTGGGTCAAGACGTGCAGTGGCTCCTTCACACATTCACTACTAACTGAAAACCCAGCAAGACTGCTTTTTGTAGAGGAGTTCCTCTTTTGGTTGCTTTTCCATAATGTTCCAATGTCCATAGGCCTAAGCAGCTATTAGATACCTAAAGGCACGGTAGGGAGAACTCCATATCTGAATTGGGATAGGGCTGCACTGAACAAGCTTAAGCTATCTTAACCTGCCATGGTAGTTCATGATGACACTATTACACGAATTTAACTGAAAAAATGAGACATTAGCCAGTGTGGTGGTGTGTGCCTGCAATCCCAGTTATTCAGGAGGCTGAAGCAGAAGGATCACTTGAGCCCAGGAGTTTGAGGCTGCAGTGAAGTATGATTGCATAACTGCACTATAGCGTGGGCAACAGAATGATACGGTGTCTCAAAAAAAAAAAAAAAAAAAAAAAAAAAGACACTAAAGTAGAATTTGAAACATCTATCAGCGGTTAAGAGGAAATATTTTATATCCTTTTGACATGCTGAGTCTCAGCTGATAGGGAAAAGGGATGGAGAGGTGTCAGGTGAATATAGACAGGAGAAAAAGAAAGAGAAGGAAAACAGGTTCTAAGAGAACATGTCTGATTATACTTAAGACTGGATTTGAATGGCAAAAATGCAATTCTTTGACACACTGGACACACTGTATGAAAATTAAAATATAAATTCTATCCTTTATTGATTATATGTTGCAATCTTGGAAAGAGAAGGGAAAATGCAAGATGAGATAAGAAAAGGGTGGAGCCAGCCCAGTGAATTACAAAATATGTCAATACAGGACATTTTTAACACTGCCAGTAAGGGCATAAACTTGCCATACTGGAATGACCCGCCCATCCCCAGATCTCCACATGGACTAAGGATGGGAATAAAGGCAATGAATGAAGAAAAACCCATTCCTCTTGAGTATGATTTAAAATGATCAGAGAGAAATTCTTATGCGTGACACAGAACAAGCTTAAAGACATGAAATATGTGGCATTGTACTCATCCAATAATGAGTGCAAACTTTCACAGGGTGAGTGAGCAGGATGGAGCCTAACTAGAACAATGGGAAATCTTTGGAAAAGTGAAATATTTAATTATTTTATATCAAAAAGCTTTGAGACAGTGAATATGAGCCTATGTACAACACTGAATGGAATAATGCACTTTCAAGTTTATGGGTAAGCAGATGTCAGAAAGAGATCCAAAACTGATACTGTACTTCCAATGCTTAGGCGGTGTGACAGTTGTTAGTAATCTTCACCAAATATTTCCAGCTCTCCAACTTCTAGCAAACATGATAGCATTGTACTTGTGTCCATCTGTAGTTTGGTGGGACCATGTGATTATTTTTGGCTAATGAGATGTGAGCAAAAATTATGTATGTCATCTTAGAGGTGATAATTTGATTGCTAATTCTCCAGAACTCTTTCCTTCCACATGGAGGGAAATATTTGTGATGGCAGCTATTCTTTCACTCTGATACCTAATTGATTCCTGGGTTTTATATAACATGAATGAACTATACACCTTTCCTTTTTTGAGATGGAGTTTTGCTCTTGTTACCCAGGCTGGAGTGCAATGGCACGATCTCTGCTCACTACAACCTCCACCTCCTGGGTTCAAGCAATTCTCCTGCCTCAGCCTCCTGAGTAGCTGGAACTACAGGTGCACGCCACCATGCCCAGCTAATTTTTGTATTTTTAGTAGAGACGGGGTTTCACCATGTTGACCAGGATGGTCTCGATCTCTTGACCTCGTGATCCACCTGCCTCAGCCTCCCAAAGTGCTGAGATTATAGGCATGAGCCACTGTGCCCAGCCACACCTTTCTTAAGTTATTGAGATTTTGGGGTCACATATTACTGCTAGCATAACAATGTATTTTCTGATTTATAGGAAGAACTGAGCTAATATAGATATTAAAAACAAGGGGAGGCTGGGCGCCATGGCTCACGCCTGTAATCCCAGCACTTTGGGAGGCCAAGGCAGGCAGATCACAAGATCAGGAGTGGCCAGATCAGCCTGGCCAACATGGAGAAAACCTGTCTCTACTAAAAATACAAAAATTAGTTGGGCATGCCTGTAATCCTAGCTACTCAGGAGGCTGAGGCAGGAGAATAGGAGAACTACTTGAACCCAGGAGGCAGAAGTTGCAATGAGCCAAGATCACGCCACTGCACTCCAGCTTGGGTGACAGAGTGAGATTCCATCTCAAAAAAAGAAAAAAAGGGTGAGTTCAAAAGATTAACAGTCTAAGGACATTCAGATACAAAAATTAAGACAAGGGGAAATATGAAGAGGAGGAAATAAGAATGAGGAAAAGAAGACAGTGATTGATGGATATAATATTCTTTCTCTGCTCACTCCCCAAACTCCTAATAACAGTCAGCTCCTCAATCTATGATTTGCCCCTCCAAATTTATTGACCAGTACTCCCCCATATATATTTATTCCAATCAGACTTCTTCCTATACCTCTAAGTCTTGAAAACATATCTTCTTTCCCTGCCTCTTCTCTTCTCTTACTCGTCAGGGAATCAGAACTCAGCATTAGAAACCAAGATATCAGCTGGCTCAAATTCTACCTGTTGTGAATCACTGCTA